CCTCCCTCCCTCCTTTCATTCCCTGAATAGCCAATTTCTATGACTGGATGCCTATCAGTTGGGAACTGTAAAGACTCATAAATTTGAGGGACATTTCTACTTGCTTGAAAGATTCTTGGTATGTGCAGAAATATGTTTTTAAATCAACAGAATTTGTAAAAACCCCAGTTGTTCAACAAACTTGTAGGTATTTTTGAAGTTAATAATAGTTAAATCTATAAAGAGCAGCAATGCTTACTTACAGATATTGTAAGTAAGAATGGTAGGCTATAGTACATGTTTTGGCCCATTCAAGTGTACCCTGATTGGCCCATGTTGAAGGGATAAAAAAAGAAGTGACATCATAGCAACAGTTGACTTGGTCTTTGTGCAGTTCAGACTTTCCACTTCAACATGATAGAAGAAGAAGGGGAGTAAAAAATGTGCATTCCATCTGCCTTCTACACTTACAGTATTGCCATGCTTAAAGGAAGTTGACATGAGTTAGCAGTGTAGCTGGCTAGTTGAGAGAGAAAAAGAAAAATGCGATGGGGAGGGGGTGATAAGAAAGAAATTTGATTTGCTGAAATCTCTAACAGCCTTTACCCTATTGCAACAGAGACTTTTCATATCTAAACTTTAATTTCTTTATCAAAGGAATTCTTCAGGGTAAAATTAATCTTCTAAATATCTTACTTGTGCCCTTCTGCAGTTCCTTGTACAGCAAGTGAAGAAGATATGATATATCACAATATACAGCTGAGATGGAGGCAATCTGCAAAACTATATATAGCGAATGGAGATGCAGCTGAATTTCAGTGTAAAGGAGGCTATCAGCCACATCCAAATTCCAGACCATTTAGAGTTACTTGCACAGAGGGGAAATTTCAGTATCCACATTGCACTAAAGTACGTATATTGTCAGAAAAATACTTTAATTCACCAATACTAACATTTCTTTCTTTTTTTCCCTCAAGCATGTAAAGAGATGTGTGCCTTAAAATAAGAAATTGCTGCTTGTGTCGTGATATATATATATTTATTCTCAGATCAGAAAAACATCTTGCATCTTAACCTACAACATCAAACTAACTTTTCAAAGTCATGATTTTCATTCATGCCTTCTCTTTGGGTTCTTACTTTATCCTTCTCCATTCCACTCTAATCCTTATCCTTCCTTATTTTCTTCTCATTTTCATAAGCAGAATAGGGAGAAAAAACCTTCTGGTTTTTAGATATCTTCCAGTTTTCATTGCTGCCTAGAAAGTTGCCTTTCTTTTTCCCACTCTGGATAGAATCACTCATTTAGAAAGCTGAATGGTGAGTGATTTATGCCCAGACTCATTCCTTAAATAACGTGGATATAAGAATATTTCAGTGATAAGCCTCATAAAGTGAAGAAGATGACTCCTTCTCCATCATTTTGAACCAAGAGTTCACTTTCAGATAACGGAAGAGAGAAAAGATGGATGACCTCATGCACTGTTTTTGTATACAGCTACTCCTCATTTAGTGACCAAAATTGGGACTGGTAACTTGGTTGTTAAGTGAAGTGATCACTAAGTGAAACTGCAACTGTGCTTATGATCTTTTTCCAGCTTTCCTTTGCTTTACAGACCTGCAAAGGTTGTAAATGTGAAGATTGGTTGTAAAATTACATTTCATCATTGTTGTAACTGCAAATGGTCACTAAATGAGGCAGTTGCTAAATAAGGACTACCTATATTATATGGGTATCGGTGGGGTGAAAAGCACCTGAAATATTTCAAAGACCCAAAAAGAAGTCTGTGGATTCTAAGCCAACCTGACCTTCTGCAATTGTTCTAAACCAGGGAAATCCTTAGGGATCCCATGACCAAAATAAGTTTCCTTTCATTCAGAGCAATGGGGGGAAGGAAGTGTATATGTCTGTGTATTTAAAAACAATTAGGAATGGGGCAGAGAGATACAAAGGGCTGCCCTCATTTCATCTCTTCTGGTCTGTTGTTGAATCCTGGCAGATTCCAAGACCAGGAAATTCCTCTGTCCTAGGACTGAAATGAGTGGAAACTCTTAATTTATCCCTGTGGTTAAATCTCACTGATTTCAATGGCCTCAGTGCAACAAATTTAGTCAGGTACAGCCTGAAATGTTCAGTATAAAGTAAGTACAGAGTAATTATTGGGTTGGATCCAATAGTCCATTGCAATCAAAAGAATTTCAGTTAGTGATGACTCATCTAATTTGTCCAATTGACTTCAGAGTCAACTTCCTTTTAGGCAATTATAGGATCCAGATTAAAGCAAAACTACAGTGATGCATGTAGATTTGTGTCTCTTCATTTAGAGACACTAATCTACATGTATCACTTGAAGAGACCCCAGAAGATATTTCATAAGAAAAAGAAGAGGAGAGGAGAGGAGAGGAGAGGAGAGGAGAGGAGAGGAGAGGAGAAAGAATACTTCTTTAGAAAACTAGATACTCTCAATGCAAATAAAATGCACTGACAATTTGTGGATATTCATCTGGATCAAATAAGTTCTTGTTGATTTGGCACCTTACGAGTATGATACAAATCAGAAATTCTTGTATGATATACAGTATCTTGTATTCAATATTATATTAATACAAAGAGTATTACCAAAAATACCAGTCTGTGGTATTTTGTATCTTTTTTTGTGTAATAGGCATTTATCTGAACTTTTTTCTTTTATAACAAATAAGGAAGCAGTGGCCTTCTAAATGTTGCTGGACTACAGCTCCCAGTACCCTTCGCCCTGGCTGGATTTGCTGGAGATAATGGAATTTCATTTATTCATTATATTCATTGGTTTAACATATTGAGCAACTGACCTTTCATAGTTGCATTGCCCATGTGTAGAACCAGTTTAATCCTGCAAAATTATCAAAGTTGCATTCTGCTAAAGATCAAGATTTAAAAACAGTTACATAAAATAAGCACCGATAGAAATTTATTTTTTATTATTCTCATTGTATTTTATAGGTCTAAGGAAATGAATAACAGGACACATATGGCAGCCTTTTAAAACCAGAATATGGATGTCAATAATCCTGAATCATCCTCCTCAATACCACCATATGAAGCTGGATTTTGTTTGTTTGAAAAATTTATTTTACCTGCAGCCATTCACAATAGATCACAATCTAAAAGTCTAATTTATAAAGGCCAAATTTTATCATTTGTTATCATTGGTAAAATGATAGCACAGTTATAAACAAATCTATAGATCATCTTTAAGTCTGTTTATACACACACGTATGCATCTGGAGTCAAGAATGTAGAACTTTTCCATATACATTTTTAGCCAAAACATTTTATTAATGAAAATTATCAATCAGCAGCCTTCTTAAAGCAGTTCAAAATTGATCACTGAAATAGATATTTTTAGCATGAAGAAATGCTGAGTTCACTAAAATAAAAATAAAAACTGATCTGCAAAAATGGTCTTTATCTGCAATATATTTTCAAAAGATACAAAGGTGTACAAATTACATTGATCCAATTCAAGGCCCAGTCCACATTTCAGAAACATCTTGATCCTGTGAAGATAATGGAACTTGCAGAGACAGCTAAGTTGACTTCCTTGACTAGAGAAAAGACAATATCTATATTTATGGCTGATTGGAAACCACTTATAGACTTTTTGCATGAAACAGAAAAAAATGCAATTATGACTTGTGGTTTTGATGATTAGAAAAAAATTAGACAATAGAAAAAAGTGAGGTTTTTTTGTAATCATAGAGTAAGAAAGAACTTTGTAATCATTGAATTTGCTGCAAAGGAAATTGGAAGCTTTTTCTATTTCTTTTTATCTTTCTTTCTGATTTCATCTTTTTTGTCTTCTTTTCTCTCTCTTTTCTCTTTCTTTGTTTTCTTTATTCTGTATTAGTGTTCGTTTTTATGTTCTCGCTAAAACTTTCAATAAAATTTATACAAAAAAAAAGAAGAAATAAATAAACATCTTGATCCTGCCTGAATTGTTCTACATATAATCTATTCTGACTTGATGCTCAGAACCAGTGAAAGATTTAGCAGAACAGAAGTTCCAAGTCTAGCAATGTACAGGTGTAAGTTTTTTGGTTTTCCGCTGTACGGGAATACACTGATAAACAATAAGGGATGAAGCAAAGCTCGTAAGCTGGTGCAGGGCTCTTCAATCTATCTTCCTTCTAAAACTTTTTTTTTTTTTTAAGGAGCCCATATTATTATTTGGAACAGAATAAAATTCAGTGTGAAATGGAGGGAACTTCATAAGGATTTTGATGCCCCCCCCCCGCTTCCTAATTGTTAGACAGCTAATTGTTGGAAGACAGAAGTATAATTCTGTTTATATTTCTTATGCTGCTTCAATCATCAGGCTTTAAGTGGCTTATAAGAATAACATACAAATATTATACAATGATAAAAAAATGATAATTATCTATCATCTATCATTATCAAAAATTCTGATAGAGTAATCATAATAACTAAAAAATGGCATAATAACTAAAAAACCAAACAGAAAGATTCATCTCATACAGAGTTACCTCTACTCACTCTCACCCTGCTCCCCAAATCTGTCCCCAGATCGTCTAACCGAGAAATATAATGTTAAATTTAATTGCCCCAAATGTGGCTGATTTTAAGTCAGCGTTTGACTTAAGTGACATTGATACTGACCAGCTCCTGCTCCTTCTTTCTAAAAAAAACTGCTCAGAGAAAGATGCAACCCACGGGGCACATTATCAGACCGAATCTTTGTACCGAAGGCAGTTGCACAAGGTTATATTTTAACCCCTTCTCTATTCAATCTATGTATGAATTCATTTGCAAAGTATTTCTCAGACTGGAACTTCCATGTTCCCAAAATAATAATTCCTCCCAGTCCAGGAATGGACACAACTGGTGCACAACATGAAGTTGAGCACAGGCCCTCCTGGCCATGGCTGCCAACTGTTCTTCGAACAGGAGCCATGAGTCCTGAAGGACCTCAAAATGTACATAGGTTCTGTTTGGTGTAGTGCAATCCCATCTGGAACAAAAGATGGAAAGTCCCTGGGACCTGGGGTCCCCAATACCCAAAGCCACTCAGTCTTGCTTGGGTTGAGCTGAAGCCTCTTTTTCCCCATCCTAACTCCCACAGCTCCCAAACACCAAGACTGGATCTCCACAGCATCACTTAGTTGGCCTGGGGTGGAAATATAAAGCTGGCTATCATCAGGATACTGATGGCACCTCACCCTGTGCCGTCGGATAACGTTACCCAGTGGCTTCATGTAGACATTAAACAGGAACCAAGAAAGTACTATACCCTGTGCACCTGTGACACCTCACAAAGCAGGGGCTGAGGGTGGGACTTTGCCCTCCCTCAATCAACACCAGTTGGAACAGGCCCTGGAGGAAGGAAATGCAACAATACAGTGCCACCCACATCTAATCTCAGAGCCAATCCAGAAGGATACTGTGGTTGATGGATGCAAAGAACCCAAGAAAACCAAGAATCCCACCAGAGGTAATTGAAAAGTGCAACCATTTTGCTTCCATACCCAGGCTTGAATCCAGACTGAAAGAGGTTCAGATAATCTGCTTCATCCAGGATCCTCTGAAACTGCTGTGTGAACACCTTCTCAACAATCTTCCCTAAAAAGGGAAGGTTGGAGACTGGATGAAAATTGTCCAGCACATTAAACCAATGCCTCTTTGAAGGGAAGAGGGACAACCCCCTCTTCTCAAGGAAGAATTCACTACCACCAGTATCTAACCACATGTCACATCTTGGGAGGCCTTAGCCAACCAGGATGGAAATGGATCTAAAATACAGGTGGCCAATCTCATAGTCCACTTCCTCAGGCCCAACAGGATCAAACTCCTCCCATATAATGAACAAGATTGTCCCTCAGTCACCTCCATAGGATCTGCTTCAAGGCTGGAGTCTAACTGGGAGCATATCCAAGCAATTTTGTCTGACAGATGCCCAACATATTCCTCGGAATGACCTTGCAGATAGACCACTCAACCTGATCTACCCAAAAGGGTTTGGGTCACCCTAAATGAGGCTGCTAGACAGCTATCCATGGATGCAATAAAGGCAGAGAAATATTAGCATTTTGCCACCCAACAGCCATGAAGTAATCCTTAATAACAGCTTTAACTCACATTCAGACAGATTCATTCCTCCAGCAGTGCTCTAGGCATCTCTTCACCTATTTCATCTTCCTCAGCAACTTGGTAAATCAAGGAGAATAATGGGATCCATGGTAGGAGAGATTTCTTACATGAAAACAATACCTACACTAAGCATATACCTGTACCAGGAAGCCCCTGGTTTTGGCAGTACATTGATCTCCTGGATATTTGTAATTTATTTGTTAAATAAATTCTGCAGAATCTAAAAAAAAAATCTTCAGTTTCCATTATAGAGCTGGTTAATAATTATCTACCCTTGGCTGAAGACTGTATACATTCAAGGTAATATTTCAGACATTTACAAGCTTTTATGCACCTTCTATTATTGACTATTTTGGCTAGAAATAGTCAAACTATCAGGTTTGATGATAATATGGTGTAAAATCTGGATGAAAGATCCATTTGGATTGCCACTAACTTTCACTAATTAACATTTAATAGTTTACAGTTACAGTTTGTAACCATTTTCCCTACTAAGAAATGATTCTCTGGTTACAATTTTAGTTCTTCTATGACTTAATCTTTAGAAATTTTAAAATGAAACTTTACTTAGTAGGTCGAATCATTTGCAGCTTATCTGCTTAAATAGAATTTTTAGTTGTAGACTTTAAGTACAGGCCATTGTAGAGGGGATGATCAGGAAAAAAAATAAACCTTCGGTTCCCTAATCTGATGTTGAGAACATCTGAATGAGAGCAAAAGTCTCAATTTTTATAGTTATTCTGAGATTAGTGAAGTGAAGTGAACCTCTTAGCAAGAATTAACTTTCTTTTAGACTGAATGGATGGTCACCTTCACCAAAATATGTCAGTAAGTAGAACTGACATGTGTTACTTTGATCACAGAAGGGCTGATCTTCTCTGTACAAATTTATTTTTTAACATTGTTTTACATGAATTTCCAATTTTCTGCCTAAGGGACGTATCTCACCCAGGACATTTTAGCAGAATTTGCACATACTGTATCTAAAGTGCCTACTTAGTTGTGACAGGATACTGGGCAGACATGATAGGAGGAGGTCCTGTTTCAAATGATGAATAGGCAAGAT